AGTTCCTGGGTGCTGCTTAAAGCTCCTCAGCTGGCTCCAGCCCTGTGGGCCTGCTGTGGTCAGCTTCTGTCCAAGCGAGCGACGTCAGGCTTTGGTGCAGTGCACTGCTGTCCCCCAGTGCAGTGCCAGATTGGTCCCCATCGCTCTGGCTCAGCCCCTCTGAGGCAATTGGTGGTGTGCTGTTTTGGGTGGAAGCTTTATCGAGGTGTGGAGTGAAGGAGCTGCTTCCAAAGGCTTCGTGCAGAGTCTCGGTTTCAGCCTGGTGCTTTGACCACAGTGGCTCTGGGGGCTTCTCATCCCCAGCTCGGGGCTGTGCATAAGCCACACGGGAGGCAGCTGTGTTATGCAGGGACCTGGAGAAAACTGAGCACGAAGGAGAGTCAGGGCTGGCAGCAATGCCCTCTGTGCAGCCCTGGCATGGCCCCCCCCCAACCCTCCTTACCTCGCACTGGTCCGAAGTCACCACCTGTCTCAGCTTTGCTAGGGGCAAAAGGGCTGATGGAGGGGAAGACAATGAGTGCAAAGGAGAGCAGCAGGACCTGGGGACACAGGGGTGGTGTTACTTGAGGAGGACCATGCTGTGCAACGTGGTTCCCAGCGAGGGGGCTGGTGGCAGAACCAGGGCTGCGTCCCTCCATTTCTCCCTGCTGCCTGCCCCGTCCTGACACCATCCATCCACCCTTTTTAACACACATCCATCCCTCCTTCCAACCCTGGCGCATCCATTCTTCCACATCAGCACACCCATCCCTCCATCCACCCTTTCCAGCACTCCTCCATTGATTTCTCACTCCCTTGAAGCAAGGAGCCCTGGAGAGGAGATTTGGGGCAGAGAATGGGAACAAGGAGCAGGGGGCTCCACACACCGCAATGCAGGTTCCTGTCTGTGCTGCTTTGTTGCTCGACTGCACCACCAGGGCCTGCAGCTTCTTCAGCTGCTCCAGGAGAGACCTGGGGATAGAGAGAGTGCATGAGAACCCCAAGGTCTGGGATCCACCTCGCAGCAGAATCTCAACCACCCCTTCACCTGCCCCTTTGTGCTTTGTCTGCTATGGAGACACCTACGAGTTCTGCTTCTCTAGGTGCAGGACTTTCCTCTGCAGCTCCTGGTTTTGAGCTGTGCACGCTGACATCCTGGGGGACAGAGAGAGGGATGTGAGGTCTGAGAGGAGCCAAGCAGAATGCCTATCACCGACCAGCCTGAGGCAGGGGTTCAGTGGCCATACCGACTCTCCAGCCCATCGATATATTCCTTCTTCTTCTTGCGACTCTCCTGAGCTGACTGCTTGTTTCTGATCTTCCTCCGGATCTTCTTCAGCACTCGCTCCTCATACTGCAGAAATGGGGGGGGTTAGGGCAGCCAGAACCCCAAGCACGGTGTCCACTTGTTCCATCTCAGGTACCACAGGACTCACCTTGGTGAGGGGCAGCTGCGTGGGCAGGGACACCCCCTCCTTTGCCAGCAGCTTCTTCTCATCCTCTGTCAGCACGAGCTCCTGGAACTGCCCCTGGCCCTGCCTCAGTAACGAGTTGGGCGCCTGTGGCTGCTGTGGGACCGTGGATAGGTGATGTCCTGGGCTGCAGGCTCACCCCATGCCTGCCCCAAAGGACTACAGGTAGGGACAGTGGTTCAAGGTTGAGGACGACATCCAGAAAGGGACGGGAACGAGACTGTGTGTAGTTCAGGAAGGGGAATAAGTGGGGGAGAGACAAGGAGGGATGAGGGCAGGAATGAGATCGTGGTCCAGGAAGTGGCAGGGACAAGGAGGGAGGGAAGGGACAAAGGTCCAAGGAAAGAGAAAGGATGAGAAAAAGTACAGGGATGGGGATGAGGAATGGGGATGGCATCTAGGATGGGACAGGACTGGGCACAAAGGGGGTTGGGGAACATGGTAGTGAGGACTCACAGCATCAGAGCTGCCTGAGAGCAGCAGATCCTTGACAGTGAGGGCACAGGATGCAGGCGCAGGGACTGTCGACAGACCCCGGCTCTCCTCCAGGAAGAAGCCAGGATTCCACATATCTGGGTGAGGGCCGGGTGAGGGCTGTCAGCTGTGTCGTGTCCTTGGCCCCCTGACATCCCCCAGCTTCCCCTCTGTGCCCCATACCTCTCCATCCTTCCTGCATACCCAAACCTCCCATCCCACCTAACTCCCTTAACTTCCCACGCCACCCATCAGCTCCCCAGTGTCTCCTCAACCTCCCACTGTTCCCAGCCCTGTCCTCCACCCGGTTTGTCCCCCATGGCTCACCCAGGTCAATGGAGACCTCAGGGTGGGGGCCTCCAGTGCTCCCAGGATGTGTCAGAACCTGGTGGCAGGAGTTGGTAAAGGCATACGGGGCCTCGCTGAGCCCTCCGTCACAGCACCCGGGGGGGCTGTCGAGTTGATCAGAGGGGGGGTCCTCAGAGACTCCGCTGTCGCTGACACCTGGGGACCAGCTGGGCGAGTCTGATATCGAGTCTCCAGAGCCCAGAATGGAGCTAAGGAAGTCCTCGCCATCCTGGGCACGCTGTGGGGATACGGATGCCTGTCACCATCAGTGCTGAGCTCCTGTAGGATCTGCCTGGGCCACAGGACAGCAATGCATGGTGTTCAGGTAAAGCAGATCTCACCCCATCCTCGTGCCAGGTGCCCGGGGATGTCGTCCCCAGCTCCACACCACGGAGGATTCCATCCTGGCGGTCAAAGAGGAGGTCCAGCAGGTCGATGTTGTCAAGGCCGCCCACAGTGGAGGCCATGGCTGCAAGGAGACGAGGTCACACCCCATCCCCATGATTGTCCCTGTGCCTCTCCCCGAAGTTTCATAGCTCTGGGGACACCCTGAAGCACTGGGCAGCTTGGTGAGAGGGAGCAAGGAGCACAGAGACGTGAGTGGGACCACGAGGATGCGCATCTACACACGTGTCACGCGTGTGCAAACGCGTGTGTGATCACATAGATGCACGCATAGGTGGGTGGATGCATGGCCATGCTGACATGTGTGTGCAGGGATATGACCATGCAATCTATATGTGCACACATGCACCCACACATGTGAGACGTGGGTATGAACATGCACACATTGCAACCTGTATTGCAGCATGTGAGCGCACCTGGCCAAGCCCTACGTGCCTGCATGCAGGAGGGAGAGCACACATATGGTCTGGACATGCACACAGGGAGTCAGGACATGGCAGTGTCCCCCCCTCTGCTCGCTTCCAGCAGCTGTAGCTCCTAAATCATCCATTTTTCCCCCAGCAGCAGGGGCTTCCCATGGGCACCCAGCCATCCTACAGGAGGAGCACCCAGACCTGAGCCCTCAGCTCATTTCTCCTGTCTGGCCTTGTCTGGCATATGGGACCGCTGAGAAGATTAGGTTAATCATTTAGTGTGGCAAACGGAGGAAAGGAGGCTGCTGCCACTGGTCAGCCCCAAGAAGGGGCCCCAATCCCAAAGTCTGGATTCCAAGAAACCCAACAAATCGGCCAACTGACCAGCAAAATCAAGGAAGTGACCAAAAAACAGATCAAACAGCCAAGCTGTTGGCCAACTGACAAACTGATTGACCAAAGCACCAACCCACTGACCAACTGAACACCTAACCTCCTACCCAACCCACCCAGTCCACCACCCAACCAATATCTGAGGAACACTGACTCAAGGCTTTTTCAAGCTGGGTTTGAGGTTGGCTGTCATTAACGTGGCATTTGACCAGCCAGCTTGGAAAACAGGGGAAATTACACTCTATTCTCTCCCCATGGTCCTTCCAGTGCCATCAGCAGCCCCATTGCTGACAGCAGGGCTTTGTTGAGCACTGGCAGCCAAGACGTACCTGTGTGAGATCCCAGCTCCAGTGGGAAGCCCTGAGATCCGTCCTGGCCTCTGAACTCCTTGATGTGCAGGACACCGAGCCTGGCCACCTCCTCCTCTGTGATGCCCTGACCCGAGTGGCAAAGTTTAAACTCCAACAGCACATAAATAGTGTCCAAGATTGCAAAATTGCCTGTGTCCTGATAGGGGCCGGCGATGGCAAAGGGAAGGCCCACGGTGCTCCGTAACTCATTAGCCAAATGTTTTTGTCCTCCTTTGCCGAGTGGGGCAGGAGGGGCCTGGGCTGATGGGCGAAGTCCAGGCTCTGCAGCTGCCCATGAACTTTCCCCCACTTTGGGGGTAATTTCTTTTTATTTTTTTCAGATGAGCACATCAGCATTAATCACATCCTATAAATGTTGAGAACATCTGGGGAAGATGTTAGCTTGAATTCTACCACTTGCTGCTTCTCCATAACATACGTTGATCCCAACTGATGTTCATGATGATCCTCATGCCCAGGGCTGGCCCAGCTGCCAGCTCTGTGCCTCAGTTTCCCTGTGGATCAAAAAGCATGAAGGCTGGGGCTCACAACCTGCCACATCCCTCACCCTTCGGTGATGATGTTGGATATCTCACATTCTGAATGCTGGGGGTTACGACTCTGGATGGGCATGATCAGATCCCAGCAGAACCCACCCAGCCGATCCCCTTCGTGCTGTGCAGAGCCCGGCCCGCCCCTCTCCCTCGTGCCCGGTGAGCCAAGGCAGCTTGTGACCACGCTGTGCCACGGGGTACAAGGCTGCAACGTCGTGCTTATCTCTTGCACAACGCCCTCTGTCCAGGAGGGACCGGCAAGAGGGAGGGCACCGCCTTCACGCCGCAATTTATGGCCCCGCAGCGGAGACGGGAACTCCTTGCTCCGGGCAAAGGGCGTCCGCTCTGCCGGCCTCCGCCCTGCCACCGCCCTGGCACCACGCGACCCGCTGCCAAAGCCTGCAGAGCGCTCCTCCGCGTGAGGCACGGCGGGCACCAGCAGGGGGCGCTGCAGCCCCGCATGCCCCGCCTCGAGCCTCGAAGCCGTCCTCCGCAGCCCGCTCTCGCGAGACTCCGCGAGGCGTCCTCCACGCGGCCGTTTCCCCACGCCCCGCCCCTTTCGGTTACTCCCCCTCCTGACTCCGCCCACTTTCGCTCCATGCCCCGCCCCGCTCGGTCCGCAGGCGCGGCGCGGCCCGGCCATGCCGGCCAAGAGGAAGCCGGTGCTGCCGGCCCTCACCATCACTCCCAGCCCAGTCGAAGGACCCGGACCTGGACTCGGTGGTTCCGCAGAGTGAGTGAGTGGCGGTGGGGTCTGACCGGTCCTTGCCGCTTCTGGAGCGTCGGTACTGGGGTTGGCTGCGTGCCGGGCCTGGGAGCTGAACCGGGAACCGGAGAGGGACGGGAACGGGGCTTGAGGAGCGAATGGGGAGCTGGGATGGGCTGTGCCTGGATGGGGGCTGTGTGGGAACCGGGGGCTGCTGAGGGCAGCGCTGTGGGATCGAGGAGGAAGAGATGGGGCCGGGCACAGAGCGGCCTTGTTCGTAGCTTGGCTGGGATGAGGTGGGGAAGGGCTGGGGGGGGCGAGGCGAGGAGCTGGGGGTGGTCAGTGGGGTGAGGAGGAGCAGAAGCCGTAGGGATTTGGGGGACGGGGGGAGAAGGAGGGGGATGTTGGGGCTGCTGGGAGCCCTCGCTGAACCCCTGCCCCGGGTGGGGGATGGGGCAGCAAATGGCAGAGGGTGGCTGGAGTCTGTCTGTCTGTGCGTGCATAGCAGGTGTTGGGGAACACAGCATCCCCTTTGTGCTCAGCTGTGGGTCTGGGGTAGCAGGGGGCTGGTGGGCATGTGGAGAGGCATTGTGCTTCACAGAGAAGGCCAAGCGTGGCTTTCCGTGTTAGGAAAAGTTGTCCCTTAACTTGTACAGGGGTTTGGGCTGAGTATATGTGCAGGTTGGGACTTCTGGTATTCCTTCTGCTTCTCCACGGTTCCCACAAAAAAAACATTGAGGTTCTTTTCCCTGTGCCTCGCTGTCTAACTCTTATGAGCCACGTTTTGCCCCTGTCAACAGAGGACAGACTTTCTCTGGACCCTCACAGACTGATGCCCCCTTCATCTCCTGCAGGGCTAACCTGGTGGACCTTCAGAAGAAGCTCGAGGAGCTGGAGCTGGATGAGCAGCAAAAGAAGCGCTTGGAAGCTTTCCTCACTCAGAAAGCCAAAGTGGGAGAGCTGAAGGATGATGACTTTGAGCGGATCTCTGAGCTGGGGGCTGGCAATGGTGGTGTGGTCACCAAAGTGCAACACAAACCCTCAGGGCTCATTATGGCACGGAAGGTAAGGAGGCAGGAGATGCCTTGCTGGGGAGCAGGGTCCAAGCAGGCTGTCTGCACTGCTCCACCTGCATGCAAAGCACCTGAGTTGGTACCGATGCACAAAGCTGGGCTCTGCACAGAGTCTCTTCCTGTTAACTTCTGTAAGCTTTCTCGCTGCTCTGCCCGGCTGTGGGTCATCTCCTGAGATGGGGAAGTCTGCATTAAACAGGTCACAGGGTTTTGCAACGCCTGGTGTGAGAACATGAGTTTGTTCTTTTGCCAGGAAATGGGTTTTCTGAGGGTGGTGGCTGACAAGGGCTCAGTGTGGCAGGTGGAAAGATGCATAGCTGGCCCTGCACACACCAGGGTTTGGCATGCACGCATCCCTTGCCATCCACTTGATAGTTCCAAGCAGTCTTGTGAACCTGTCTTGACAGCTGTTCCTCTCTGAGATTGGCTTATGGGAGATGTCTTTTATTGTCTTGTAATAGAGAAATAGGAGGTGCTTTGTCTGCCTATTACAAAAGGCAGTGCTCAGTGAGAGCAGCACAATTGCTAACATATAGGACAGCTTCCTTGGAAGGCTCTATTCTCACTTGCTGTGGAGATGACTTAGTGGGTATCATGAACTAATAGGTTTTCCAGGTGGCTTTGCTTGGAGTGGAGCTCTGTGAGTCTTCCACTGTGGCATTATTTTGGGATTATTATTTCCCAATTATTTTTAATTAATTATAAAATAATTTCCATTATTTTAGATGTAATTAGATGGTTTTGAGATTGTTGGGAGCGCTGTGTTTAGAAACTGGAGCCAAGGCAAGCTGCAGCATTGGGCAGCACTGCTGTGTTCCTTGCTGAAACCAGGGCCTGGGTGTCCTAGAGCTTACAGTAACAGCAGCTGCTTTCTAACCTGCAAGACTTTCCTTCCCACAGTGTGTTAGCTGACTGTGTGGAGCCCAAGGACTAAGGCATTTACTCTTCCACGTGCATAAGCATGTGAATGTTGTTTTTTTCACTCCATGTGGTTTCCTTGATAGGAGAGCACCTGTTCTTACAACACCTACGAAGCTCGTGAAAATGTTCACGTTGCCAAGTCAGATCTGCTTCTGCCTTGCCTTTCCATTCTGTGTCCTGTGTGATTTCAGTGTGTTACACAGGCTGGCAGTTGCTGCACTTGCTAGCAGGCTGCACAGCACTCCACTTGACCCTTTATCCTTAATTTTGGAAACATTTTCCTTTCTTTCCAATGCTCACGCTTGCTTGTTCACGTGGTTCCTGTAAGGTTGTTTTTTGATGTCTGTAGGCACCATACTTTTTTTTTATATATATATTTAATTTTTCTTGTTAGCTGATTCATCTGGAAATCAAACCAGCCATCAGGAATCAGATTATCCGAGAGCTGCAGGTGCTGCATGAGTGTAATTCCCCATATATTGTGGGTTTCTATGGAGCCTTCTACAGTGATGGAGAGATTTCCATCTGCATGGAGCACATGGTGAGTCCACGTCCCCCTCCTCCTCCTCCAAGCTGCTGCTCCCAGCACTGTGTTCCCAACTGGATCTTTATGAGAATGACATCCAGATGAAGTGGGTTAGTGTGCTGGCATTCATTGCTGGCAATGCAGTGGCTCCTTGCTCTGACTGCTTGGTGTTCAGCAAGGCTGCTAAGCTGGGGTTAGAATCTCCATGCTTCTACTTAGGCATCTAAATGACAGGCATCAAGGTTTTTTTTTTTAGGAAGCAGAAGTTTAGGGGGTGGCCAAACAGAAATATTGTAAACCCATCACTCTACAGAGCTTGCTGTCAAATGCAATGTGCATCTTTTCTTGTCCCTGTCAGAAGTGTTGTCATTCCTCCACAATGATGCTGGCAGCCTTTGTGTTCAGCGCTGAGGGAAAAGAAGCTTAAAAACTAACAGCAAGAAACAGAGCTGATAGGATTAAAGTAGTTCTCAGTGAGAAGCTTGAGCTCTGATCACCAGAGATCTTTTTCTGCTGAAGGAGCTTGCTTGATATCGATGTACTGCAGTCTACTGAGCTGGGATGCTGTGTATCACTCTTATAGTCCAATATGGATGCATTTGTCTGTATGGGCAACTGCTCTGCTGCTGTTGGTGTGCTGATAACCTCAGTGGCTTTCTTACTTTCAGGACGGTGGCTCCCTGGATCAAGTGTTGAAAGAAGCCAAAAGAATTCCTGAAGAAATACTGGGGAAAGTCAGTATAGCGGTGAGTTGCCGTGGGTGAGAAAATGCTTGTGCAACCCCAGGAAGCTTTCTTCATTTGTCCATATGTGCTTTCCCATCCTGAAGTTGGGCAGGAGGTGCTGGTATGTGAGATGGGAGCAGGGAAGCAGGTTCCCAAGCACTTTCCATCATTCCCACCCCTGGTGTTGCACTATTTGGTGGTTGCCAGACAGGGAGAGAAACTTCCTTGGGCAAGAAACCCAAGACTTGTGATTGTCACAGCAGGGCTCGGTTTTTGCTCTGTGACTGAATCCATACAGTGGCCATTGCTCACTGCCATCCACAGCCATCAGTTGCAAAACTTGAAGTGCTTAGTCACCACAGAGAGGCTTTCCTCACAGGGCTGCGATGTGGCAGCACTGAAGTTTATGCAATGCATCTTCCTGAAGGCAAAACGCTTCGCTTCTGAGTTCTTATCCTGTCTTTGGCTTCCTTCTAGGTTCTGAGAGGTTTGGCCTATCTGAGAGAGAAGCACCAAATCATGCACAGAGGTGAGAGAGGAGGAACCTAACAATAACTGCCTGTGCTGGAGGAGCCCTGTTTTACCCAGAGCCATGTTTACACTCTTCTCTCTCACTGTTGTCAGATGTGAAGCCTTCCAACATCCTGGTTAACTCTCGAGGAGAGATTAAGCTGTGTGATTTTGGGGTCAGTGGTCAGCTCATTGACTCCATGGCAAACTCTTTTGTGGGAACTCGGTCCTACATGTCTGTAAGTTCAACTTTTTAGTGGATTTTTACAATTTGGGTTCAGCTTGGTTAACCACTCGTATAGAATCAGTGTCCTGTCCAAGCTGTTCACAGTTTTCCTCTGCATTCCTGCCCTCTCTGGGACTGTGGTCTCTTTGGACGCTGTCTGATCACATGTGCTTATTGCTTCTTCATGCTGAAGGTTGGACTGGGGAGCACGTAGTGTTCCATGCAATAGGAACAAGTACAAGATGTGCAAAGGAAGATGTCCACATCCTATGGATGCTTTCATTCTGTTTCAGCTACTGTTTGTGGGTTCAGAAACTTCTTTCTGTATGCAAAGCCTGTCCAAGAAACTGTGGAGAGGGCACCCGTGCTGACACCCTCCCTCCTTCAACCATGCTTCAACCATGTTGGCAGGGGTGTTAGCCAGTCTAATGCAGGTGGGGTTGGTGGAGACTGATGGAAAACAGAGCCAGACTGGAGGAAAGCTGCAAAAAGAGCAGATGATGCCTCAAAACGAAAGTCATAATCTGTGGGCCCTGGGCTGCAGATGTGCTAAACCACAGATTGTGACACATTTTGGGTAATGGTTTCTGTCCAGCCTGGTGTAGTGGAAGTGACACAGTGCAGCAACAGGCAGCATGCAGACTCCTGCCCTGTGTCTTGATAACAGGCTGCTGTAACCATGAAATTTCCTCCAGGCTGGCTCTGTCTGGATAGCAAAGAAGATGCATGTCTGCTGTCCACACCGTGTGGCTGCAGCTGTAAGCAGGCAGTAAGCAAAGCTGCTGGTGCTTCTGTACTTAGGTCTGAGCTCCTCTTGTATTTTGGGAATGGTTATTTAAGTAGAGTTATAGTTAGATGGTGTATTTAAGGGTGGTGTTCCTTCTGCACTCAGTTGGGTCTGCACAGCTCACACAAAGCTACCAGCATAGATGGCTTGCATGGGTTTATTATTTTTTAGCCTTTTCATCACAGTAGGATTTTCTGCTCCTCAGATTGCTCTCAGATATTAATAGGAATAAACAGAAGAAATAAAAAAACTTTGACAACAACATTGAGATCTCAGCTCACTGAGAAATACTTTACACTCAGAAGTCCACAGCATGAGCAACTGCAAAGGCTGCTCAGCTGTATCTGTTGGTTAGATGTGTGCAAGTGCTTTGTGTTTGCTGTGACTTGGGAGTTCCCCCACCCCCCAGAAATGCTTTCTCTGCAGACATCAGTGCTTCTGGCAGGCATCAGGAGCGCTGGCTGCTTGGAGGACACCTGCTCATAGAGAGGATGCTTCAGGTTTCTTACCTCTGTGTTTTTTTTTTCCTTCCAGCCTGAGCGATTGCAGGGCACTCATTACTCAGTCCAGTCCGACATCTGGAGCATGGGTCTGTCACTGGTGGAGCTTTCTATTGGAAGGTACCCAATACCCCCACCAGACTCCAAGGAACTGGAAGCAATATTTGGCCGTCCTGTGGTGGATGGGGCAGAGGGAGAATCTCACAGCGTCTCGCCGCGGGCCAGACCCCCAGGCCGCCCCATCAGTGGTAAGGGGCCGCCATGCTGCACTTGGAGGGGCCGCCATGCTGCACTTGGGGGGGCCGCCATGCTGCACTTGGAGGGGCTGCCATGTTGCATAAGATGCAACACGCAGGCATGGGGGCAAGGGGATGGGTTCTGTTGGTGTGGCTGGGTCAGCAAAAGCTGCTGTGAATGAGGTTGTGGGGAGGGAGGGTTCTCATCTCACTCTTTCCTGCAGACAGAGCCATGTCTGTGCTGTAGGAGAATCCAGCTCTGCTGTGGAGGTTTCTAATCCTGAGAGCCTGCAGGGTTCTGGTCTTGTATGGGGAGCTTAGGAGGTGGTTTGGGGGATTTTGTTTTTAACAGTGGGTTAATTCCCAAGTTGGTGCCCTCTGCTTCTCCCAACCAAAGTCCCAGTGTGGGTTTTCTTTGTGTGAAATGAAGCCCTTTGGTGTCTGAACAGCTTCTCACCAGTATTTCTTTCATCTTAACCACACAGGCCATGGAATGGACAACCGACCTGCAATGGCCATTTTTGAACTGCTGGACTATATAGTTAATGAGGTGAGTATTGCACTACGGTAGGCTATGCTGCCCTGGGTTGGTGTTGTGTCCACTCTGAAAGGTCAAAGGAGGCTCAAAAACCTTTGCTTGACAGGGGCTTATCAATAGAGCCCCTCAAACTGCTCCAAAGTCCTCTTGGCCACCGATAGAATGGGAAGGAAGCAACTGAAAGCTGTGCTCTAAGGCATTTACGTTTTGACCCATTAATCCTTTTTCCTCTCTCTGCAGCCACCTCCCAAGTTGCCAAATGGAGTTTTCACGCAAGATTTCCAGGAGTTTGTAAATAAATGGTAAGGATTTCTGTTTGTGACTGAACGTGGAGGCCTGTTTGCGGTCACTGGCAGCTCAGCAGGCTGCCTTCCCACTCAAAATGTTCAGCATGAGGGTTGTCTGTTCTCTGTTGGCAATCTCCCTGCTCTGGCTTGGCTGCAGCAAGGTCCTGCACTGTGCTGGGAACTTCTGCCTTGGGAAGGGCTGGAATAAAAGTGGTTTATTTGTAGTTATTCTCTGCAGCTTGTCCCACAACCTTGCAGGCACCCTGCAAGCACCACTGACTTCAAGATCTCCTGATCCTGGGGACACCGTGGGGATGTTGCTGCTGTCCCCACTAAAACAGAGATGTTACAAAACCATTAATCTCTGCAAATGGTTACACACTTTGTCCATGCAATCCAGAAATGGTGGATCTTGCAGCTCTGCCTAGAGTCCAGAGTGCTGGAGCTGCAGACACCACTATCTGAGCATCATCCATACTGCTGGTCTGAAGAAGGCAGACAGGAGGCAACGTGTTTTTTAGTGAAGCTGGACACCCCTCCAGACAGATAAGCAGCTTCTTACAAGAAGTGTCTCATTGCTGCCTTTGCTCTCTTGTTCTTCTCATTTCAGCTTAATTAAGAATCCAGCGGAACGGGCAGATTTGAAGATGCTGATGGTAAATGGGAAGAGCAGTCTTCTTTCTACACTGGGTGGCACCAGATCTGCAAGCTGCTGCCTCATCCCATCCCTTCCAGCCACCCTTGCTCTAAAGGCTGCAAACTCCCCTGGCTGAGCCTGAGAACCAAGTGCAGCCTGGGATATGAAGTGACTCACTTGCCTTTATCTCAAAGGCAGTGGTGTCATCTAACCCGAGAGCCTTGATGCCCCTCCCCAGCAGAGCTCAGGATGGGAACCTGATGGCTCCAGCACCTCTCCGTGTCTGCGAAGGTGCCTGGGACAAACCTTTGCCTCTTGAGCAGAGTAGAAGAGCTCAGTTTATCCCCGTGAACCTCGCTTTTCTTCCTCAGCCTAGTGCTGAGCCACAGCTGGCTCAACCCCGCTGCCCCTTGCAAAAGCAGCAGCCCACATCCTTACATCCCTGCTCCTTGTCTTTGTTTTGTGGTCACCCTGGGGAATTAAGGTTTGCTCTCTGGGAGCAAACTGGTACCAGGCTGAGCTGGTAGGCTCTGAACCTACACCAGGCTTGTCCTATCTCCATAGCATTTAGGTTTGTTCTAGGGATGCAGCACACAGGCTTTGCACCTCAGCTCTTCTGTGTGTCCTGAGAGTTTCATGGCCAGGCACAAGATGCACTGACTTAAAAACCCAGCCACACGGCTGTAAGTAGCAAACATTTAGGAACTACTCTCCAGATCCACTGTCTGGGCCTGAAAGCAGCCCAAGCTATGGCCTTGGATCCATTGGCCTTACTGGAGTCCAACCAACAGTGTAAGCCCCCCCAAAGCTCTGAGAAGGGGCCAGAGATTGCGGTGTTCTGCTGGAGGTGGAAACCCCCACTGCAGGATGCACCTGGCCACATTGCTAACTTAGCTTCGCTTCCCTTGCAGAATCACACCTTCATCAAGCGTTCTGAAGTGGAGGAGGTGGATTTTGCCGGCTGGCTCTGCAAAACATTGAGGTTAAACCAGCCCAGCACACCCACCCGTGCTGCCGTGTGATGGCCGAGCCGACCGCCTGGCGTCAGTACATCTGCCTCTGTCACCATTCCCTGTCCTTCAGTACACAACAGAACTGCCCTCCTTCCTTCTCCCCAGCCCCTTCTCACCTCGCATCCCACCGGCAGAGCACCATCACTTGGAAATGTTAATCAGCTGCCCCCCAACCCCAAGCAAATGTGGGCTTGGTTTCTGTTGTTCTGGGGGGGGTCCTGGGTCTCTGCTCCAGCTTGGAGCTCTTGACAATTGGGAAATGTGCTGCTTATGTTAATTTTTTTCTTTTTTTTTTTTTTTTTTTTTTTCTTTTTTTTTTTTTTTGGAAACATGTTCACTTGGGTTTAAAAAAAAAAAAGTGTGTGCACTGGTGTATGTGTGTGTGAGATGGTGGCAAGGGATGGGCATATGGCTGTGGGAACGGGGCTTTGCCTGCTTCTGGGTTCCTCAGCTGGACCAGGAGCATGGAGTGAAGAATTCAGTGCTGCCAGAAGGGGAGAAACCTCAGAGGATGTTGCAACCATGGCAGATGCTGTGCCACAAAGCTGTGGCATTGCTTAGAGCTGAGCTGTGTGCTGAACCAGCTGGCCTGTGGGTAGAGGGAGGCACGTGTGGCTTTACTTCTGTTGTTGTTTCATTGGGTTGCTTTACAGCCCGTTCTGGTGAATCGTCTTGATCTGCTGAGTGCAGGCTGAGCTCCTGGATCAGATGGGGAAGGTGTGCAGGGCAGCTGGTGGGCTCTGCTGACCCTCCTGCAGGCAGACCTGGGTGCACAGAGAGCAGGTGCTCCACATCCGCCCTATTCGTCCCCTTGCACTGCAGGCAGCAGTTTGCTGTGCCTTGGGCAGGATCCATCCTGGGTTTGCTGTGCCTCAGGCAGAGCAGTCCTAGAAGCCCCTCTGGCCTCCAGCTGTCCCCTCCACCTTCCCAAGCCAAGGCCTGGGGTCTGGCAGTGTGGGTTTGGTGGCAGTTGCCCCCATGGAGAGGCTGGGCCAGGCCTGGATCTTGCTTGAGGGATGGGGGGTTCAGTCCTCTCATGCTGTTCCAAGGCTTCGTAGTTCTCCAAAGGCTGCTTTCCACACTCTTTACCCCATGCCTGGGTTGCTGCATGCCCTCCTGCCTCAGGAAGGGTGAGGGCTCCCTTGATGTTAGGGCTGAGCCATCACCATGCATTCACCTCCATCCCCTCAGGGCTGACTATGCCTTACAGCCCCATCTCCTCCTGAGGGGGGTGAGCCTCCTTGCTTGTGGATTTATTTGGTTTTCCCTTTGCAATTTGCCAAGTGACTGATGGATGCTTCTCTGGTGGGGCAGGCCTGGTATTTGCTCTTCAGGAAGCGTGTTGCCTTGTTAACCCCCATCACAGCCCCTTCCCCACTGCTGGGGCAGGGGGCTGGCACCAAAATGCACCAGGCAGTTGCTGTTGTTTTTTGCCCCTTAGGTGCAAAGTGGGGAGATGGACAATTCATGAAGCGTTAGGGTTGTTTGTGGCTTGTTTCACTTTGGTGTTGGGTTTTGGAAGGGAAAATGATATTAAACGTTTTGTTGGGTTGTTTCTTTTTAAAAACCTCAATATTTTCATCATGGAGAAATAATAATAAATGGCACTTTACATTTACAGGCCTATCCTCTTCTGATTTCTCCTGCTCAGCTTTAACTCCTGTGTGCCCAGGCTCCAGCAGCTCCTCTTGGAACAGATCTCCCACTTATCCTGGCACCAGCCTGCCCTGTCCCAGCAGGATGGATGTGAGCTCTAAGGAAGGCACTGTGCCATAAATCCTGCTCTGGGGTTGCTGGATGCTGAGTTATTCATTATAGAATGAGGCTGAGCTTAGCTGGGAGCCCTGAGCTCATCCAACCTTGGGGTATACTTCAAAATAACATTTTCTCAGAACCCTGCACCCCCTCAACCTCTGCAGAAACCCCATCAGTGTGGAGCTGTGGGGTTTGGGGGACCTCTATGGCTGGGCATGGTGTCTGGCACCTCTTGGGGGTGGCATTGGTTTGCTCCCATCTTCAGGAGAGATTTGGGAGCTCTGAGGGCTGGCTTTAGGGCATCCTAGTGTACCCCCAGCCTATCTCAGCGTTCTTTGGGTGCTGCAGAGGCTGCCCAGTGTGCCCTAGAGGCATCTTGGTGCACCCCACTGGCTCTGAGGTACCCTATGTGCTATGCTGTGTATTCTATCAAATGCTCAGAGCAACTCGGTGTGAATTAAAATGCAGGCACTCTCATGGCCTCGTATCGCCCATTTCCCCCTAGGCAACCGTGGCTGGACTCCCCATTCTGTGCTTCTGCTCAGGATGATGCTGTGGTGATGAGTTGGTGAGCATCCCCCTCCTGTCCCCCCTCTGTCACCTCAATTTGGCACACCTTACCCCATAGGCATTCCTTCTTTCTTGTGAGCTGTTTGTAGAAGCAGCAACCGCTCTGCTGTGCCTTCCAGCCTGGCCTCCCCCCGATAGCCTCCCCCCAGCTGTCCTATAGCTCTTTGCTTCCACATTCACAGTGCTGTGATGCCAAATGCCGACAGCCCCCCAACCTCACCAGTCCCTCTACCGGAACCACCTGCGGCCAATCCATCCTGTGAAGTACAAATGCATGCTACTACAATGCTACACAGGGCAAAGAGGCAGTGTGACCCCCCAAACCATGCCCACATCCCCATCCCCTGCCAAGCTGAGCAGCTCTCCTACCGCATTGCAATTCCCAATGCTTTTCCCCATTGATTTCCCAATCCTTCACCTCCCCTTTACCCACCGAGCCCCGAGAACGTACCGCTATGGCTCTCCCGGCGGCCATTTCGCGTTCTGCTCTGTATCTGATTGACTTTCCGCTCCACGCCGCCCTCATTCCCGTTGCCCACGGCGGAACCTCTCCGCTCCGCCGGTACCCACGGGGACGGGCGCTCCACGTGGCGTTGCGCATGCGTACGAGCGGGAGGCGCCGACGCCTGCAGCTCTCCGATGCTGCCAGCAGGTGGCGCTGTCCGGCTCCTCGGTCCCGTACGGACGAAGCGAGAGCCGCGCGCCCCGTGCGCGTAACCCTGCCCTGTTGTAAAGGTAAAGGCAGCAATGCGCGCACCCGCTGCACGGCGGTAGCACGGAGCGTTCCCGGAGCTCCTCGGTGTGCCTCAGAGCCTTCCCACTGAGCTCTGGCTGCGGGACCTCGTGCAGCAGTGGAATGCTGCTGGCCTGGTAAATGGGCTCAGCTCCCCAGCATCAAGTCTGCTCCTGCCTCGCTTCTCACCCCAGCTGAGCCTTCCCCCACCAGCTCCCAGAGAGGAACCTGAGGCTCAGCAGAGATGCAGCAATGCAAGGAAGCGCTGAGATGTGTCCCCCATACCCAGTACTCCTGCTACCCCCTCTATTCCAGGATGGAGATGTTCAAGACCTACCTGGATGCCTACCTGTGCGACCTGGTGTAGGGAACCTGCTTTGGCAGGGGGGTTGGACACGATGATCTCTGGAGGTCCCTTCCAACCCCTACAATTCTGTGATTCTGTGAATACCAACACCCCCCCCACAGACAGCCAGGGGTCAGCAGGGTTGCCCTCTGGAAACTCAGCATCTGGATGCTGACAGTGAGCCAAGAAATGTGATGTTGATGTTGGTAAAGTGTCCTTAAACACAACCACCTGTGCCACTCTTTGTCACAACAGTAGGAGTTATACACATGAAGTGTCAGCCTGTCACCCTCTTGGATCCTCCAGGGCAACCTGGGGCACCTGAGCTTCTTTGTAGGTAACCCCAGAAGCCTCAGTGAGCCACTCTGAAGCACCCTAGTTTGCTCCTGAACATGCCCTAAAATCAGACCTGTGTGAGCCCCACCAACCTCGACGGGCATCTCCTGCCCCGGTGCCAAAGCAAGTGGCTGCTCCCCAAATCCAGACAGGCTCAGAAAGGGACCCCATGGCTTCGAGGCACCTGCAGGAGCAGCTCTGATCCCATCGCACGACGCCTCTGCCGGGAGCAAGCAGCAGGCAGGCAGCCAGCATTGGTGGGAGGAGAACAGATTGTCCACAAAACAGGCACTGTGCAGAGCGGGATCCCCCGCGAACTGCACCCTGGAGATGGGGCCAGCTCAGAGGGGACGGGGAGCTGGGTGTCCCCACGCTCACAGCAGAGTGGGCGTGCTCCTATCTTAGCCCAGCTCAGCCCTGCTGGGGTGCCACAGCAGCACGAGCAGCCTCTCTCTCTGTGCACAACTGGCAAAAGGCTGGCAGCACTCCGTGGGAGGGCAGGCGGGATGCGAGCAGCTTCCTGCTGCCCCTGAAGACTGAGCCTCCGTCTGCTCGGGAACGGAGCGAGCAGAGCTCGAGTTGGGCTGTGAAAGGGAGCGGTGGTGAGCAGAGCCAGGAAATCCAGCACGCAGGCTGACACTTCATCTATAACTCCTACTGTTGTGACAAAGAGTGGCGCAGATGGTTCTGTTTAAGGACACTTTGCCGGCATCAACGTCACGTTTCTTGGCTCAGCGTCGGCATCCAGGCGTTGCATTTCTAGAGGGCAGCCCTGCCGGCTCCTGGCTTTGGGGGGTGGGGGGAGTCCTGGGATAGAGGGGGGTATGGAGAGACCTGGGTTAGGTGGGACACATCTCAGCGCTTCCTTGCATTGCTGCATCGCCGCTGAACCTCAGGTTCCCCTTTGGGAGCTGGCAGGGGAATGCTCAGCTATGGGGAGGAGTGAGGCAGGAGCAGCCCTGATGCTGGGGAGCTGAGCCCGTTTCCCAGGTCAGCATCATTTCATCATTTCACTGCTGCACGAGCTCCTGCAGCCAGAGCCAAGGTGGAAATAGCAAAAGGGACAGCCCCAGCACAGCCCTGGCCAAGCACCATCTTTTCCCTGGCACAGGTGAAGTAAATACTCATGGAGCAGCCCATCACCTGCTGCTCCACACGGCCCTGCTCCCAGTGCTGCTAATTGCAGCGTTCTCACTTCACGCTGATGGACATGATAAGATTAGTGATTACAGAAATCTCATACGGCAATTGGATTGAATTGGGAGGCTGCGTGAAGGAAATTGGACTGAGCTGCAAATAGGAATTAATTATAACCTGGCAGCAGTGAGATTTGAGGGTTTGAATAGACGTGTTTCTGTATATTTACGTGTTGCCCTGCGCTACCTCTGGCTCTGTCCTGGAGCAAGGAGCTTCAGTACGGTGAGATGTGGCACTGTGGCTGCCTCTGCTCCAAGGCCAGCTTTGGGCAGCCCCAAGCACACAGAGAGGGGCTGAGAGTGCTGTTATTGAACGTGGCCGCGGCACATCCATGGGGTGAGAACAGCCCAGGGCTCCCAGCCCTCCCCTCCTGCCAGCAGGCTCCATTATCTACATTGCCATGGCGATGGAGCCAGGCTGATGCTCTTTGTGGCGTGTCCAGTGCAATCCTCAGACACTGCCCATGCTGGGGGGCAGATCCAGCTGTGATGGTGGATGCAGCCCCACGTCCTCATCATGCTTCCATGTGGGTCAGAGCCGCCGCCTTTCAAGAAACCCAGAACTCAGGGTCTGATCCCCCTGTGGCACCCAGCATCTGTACCCAGCACCCCCAATCTGTACCCAACACCCAGAGCTGTAACACAACTCTCAGAGCTCAGCCAGCAGCCCCAAATTGCCGTATCGATTGAAGCCTGTCTGAACTGATATTAAAACGTTGGCCAGCAGCGTTGAACGAGTCCTCCTGTCTGCTTTGTTTTTGCCATTTGTTTCCCCTCCCACCTGGGCCTGCTTGATACGTTGGGCATTTTGCAAACCTGTCAGAGGCAGCATTGAAAAATCCAGCAGGGAGCTGGAAATGAACCGGTCCAGAGGGGAAAGGCTGGGAGAGCAGCTTTACACCATAGTACATCCTCAGCCCCTTCCCTCATCCACCCCTATAACCACACTCATTCCCAGCACAGATTTTGGGGGTTTCGCCAGTCCTGCAGCTGTTGGTGTGATGCAACCAAGCCACACTTGGGCTTTGGGATGTGTTAATTTCCTCTGCCAAATTCCTCCAAAGGAGATGGGAAAGGCTGAGTTAGGATCCATCCCATGGCTCCAGGTCCACGTCAGCGTGTCAGCTTCAAAACATGAGAGCAAAGCTCATGTGGAAAAGCAAAACAACCTGAGCCCTGGGGCTGCGGTGACAGCAGCACAGCCAGCCCTGGGGAAAGCTTGCAAGCTGCTGCTTCTGTGCCGGCTCTCATCAAACCTGCAAATGCCACAGGGCTGGAAAAGAGCTTCAGGTTGTCTCTATTGCCAGCAGGGCTCCTCCAGGGCTTGACGTCCCCGTGGCTTGAGGCGCCCGCAGCCTGATGTCCTCATGGCTTCAGGTGCTCAGACCCCACAGTCAGCAGCCAGCAGGGCCAAAACCTTTGCCTCTGGCTTTTCTCTTTCACCTGATGTGACCATGAGGAACTGTGGGATTCAATTAACTCCCGTTTTCCTCCCGTTAACAGTGGGAGTCTCTCTCCCTGCTTTCAAACAGACATGCTGCCACGGAAGACAAATGCTTGCAATAAAGATGAGGAGCTGTGTGCAAGCCGGAGGGAGGCCGATACTCACACACAGCTGCAAGGTGGGTGCATCGTGCCCTGCACCCACCAACACAGCACTGCTCCCACACCGGCTGCTCAGAGCCTGGGAGTGATGCTCGGGATCAGACTGCAGCTGGGGCAGCCCCACAGAGCCCTGCAGCCCCCGCAACCGGACCAGGCAGCCAAGATGTTGCCAAGCAACAGAAAGAAGCTTTTTTTTTTATTAAAAAAAAAACAAAACCCAAACGGTAAATCAGCAGCTTTGTCAGAGCAGGGGGTGTTGTGAGGCTAACCCCAACTGCACCCAAATATCTGCAGGGGGAGGTAACCATCAGGACCCCAATTACCCCCAGGTAATCACTGGGTAATCCTGCTTGGACCCCCACCCTGGCCATCCCACAGCCTGCAGTGCAGAGGCTCATTGCAGCCCAGCCTCAGCTCAGGGTTTAACCCCAGGCTCTGGAAGCTGCACATCTCTCCTCTAACAACTCAATTAGGAATTCAGAGCTAAATCTTCTCCCACCAGCCGCCCCTCCGACTGTTTCCCATGCTTTACATATTGAGCACTTGAAGGATTTTTAGTGTTTTCAGGCTGACCCCCATCCGCTCCATTTCAAACGAACTCAATCAGGCTCATTTTATTGCTAACTGCTGTGGCTTTTACACCTCGAAAAGGAAAAAAATAAAACCCCTATTTTAATTTCCTGGCACCTGCCAAGTTTTCACCACGCTGCTTTCTGTGCCCTGTGGGGCCGGGAGGAAGGAGGGCGGATCTGTTTAGCATTCCTATTCTTTATTTCTACTAAAAATGACAAATTATTACTATGGTGGAAATTAGAAAAATGGCATTTAGGCTGCAGGCAAACCTCCCTCTTTGCTTCAGCAGCTGCTTGTTAGAAGTGGGTTGAGAGATGGAAAGCAGGGGAAAGAAAAGAAGAAAGCAGAATAAGCTGCTGGCCTGGAACAGCTGGGGGGGAATGGGGGGGGAAAGGCTGTCCCCACTGCTTGCCATCACAGGGGGTCAGCAGCACGTGGGATAATAGAAAGCAAGGGAGCATCAGGAGCTGGGTACCATTTGCATCTGTTTTAGAAAGACTTTATTGCACTAAAAAGGGGAAGTCATCTGTAAACAAACATTCCATTAATGAATATATATGTATATATTAACTCCAAAACAAAAACGCGTTGTTAAATCCAGCCACAGAAATATCATAAAGCAGGAACGTTAGAAAAGGGCTACAGGGAGGAAGGATCCCTCCAGGACTCCGCATCCACCCTCCCATCCATCACAGCAGCAAATCCCAGAGCTCAGCAGACCTGGGACAGGTGAGGGAGGTGATGGCACAAACTCCTAGCCCTCAATTCCCCCCACGGAGCCAAAGAGCAGCCAAAGAGCCCCCCAGCTCTGCTCTCAGCCTCCCAACCCACCCTCAAAACACAAAGACAACACAGCACAGCCCTACCGTGGAGGGGCTGTGGCATCCCCAGCCCTTCATGAGCACTGAAACCTTTGTACTGATCCTCCTCCATCTCCTGGCCACCAGCTGGGTGTCCCGTCCCCCCCCCCCCCACCTCCATGTCAGGGGATGGAGGAAGAACAGGGATGGGCAGCCCTTGGTTGTTCCTGGGGAGAGCAATGGGGAGCAGCAGGTGGGAAATCCCCTGTGGCAAAGGGATGCGTCTGTTCCTCACGTCCTGCACGGTTTGTTTTCAACCACAAGCTCAACAAACAGCCACGATCATCCCAGCGCACCCCCCCCCCCCCGACATGCAAACAGCACCAGAACCATGCCTCGTATACCTGAAACATATTTACAGACAGAAGTAAAACACGCTGGGAAAGATCAGCCTCGGATATAAATAGCCAACACTGAAATCTGCCATCTGCTGCAAAGGACAAGGAAGGAACATCAACCGCCACCAACAGAGGTTGACACAGAGGGACACATGTGCGTGTGTCCACACGTGTTGGAAGGGGGCAGAGAGGAGCGATGCTATTTCTGCTCCTTTTCACAAAAACATGCAGGTAACACCACACCAAACAACAACAAAGCAGCTGTTTCAGCTGCCTGCAGATACCCCAGCCTGGATTTCCCCCATTCTGGTGTCTCTGGGCAGTGCTGGGATTCAATGTGCCAACACAGCCCTGTTTGGGGACTGGGTCCCACCAGGTGTGGGGGTTTTGTGACCCCAGGGCCATGCATCTCCCTGTGGGTGGGTGGGAAGGGGGAGGGGTAGGGTGCAGAAGCTTTCAAGCTCCTCACCTGTGAGTGCTCAGAGAGGGCAGAATTAGGGGGGGCAGCCCAGATCCCAGCCTGCCACCTGCTCTGGTGCCACCCATCCCCAGTGCCATGCAGGCACACAGCCACGAGCACTTGGGAAGGCAGCAGGTGCTGCTCTTGTTGCTTGGGGTCTGCTGGGATGTTACCCCAGCATGCATGCTCACCCCCATGGCCATGTGCCCCCCCCCCCCCCCCCCCGCCGCCGTGCCAGCTCCCATCAGCATCCATCTGGGTTTGGATAAATCCAAACGCCTCTGAAGTTCCTGCAGCTGTTATTCATGGGGGAGAGGAGTCAGTATCTGGGGGACCAGGACAGGAGGGCAGAGCTGACTGCACACTCTATGTGGTTCCAGGAAGGGACTCAGAAAGACCACAGATGTGAGTCAGCCACGAGGCCACCTCCCAGGGACCCCAACCAGGTTCCTGGGTCACCTCTGCAGCATTTTCTCTGCAGTTTCCAAGACTACAAAGCTTGACTTTTAAATGAAAGCCAAGGTCGATGCCATCATCTGACTCCAGGAGCTAAGGCTTGGAGAGAGGTGGCAATAAGCATGCTGCAGAGCTCTACCCACTTCCAACCTTCGTGCTGGCCAGCTGGAGGCCACGGGAAACCAGAAAGGGAAGAGCCCAGCAGGTGACATCCATCCATCTGAAAGGGACAGGGCACGTGGCTCCTGCTGTGCTCCAGGAGCCGCAGCCCCGGCCAGGGAGCTGGAACAGAAGGGAGAGGCTGGCACAGGAGGGCTGCATCTGGCAGCTCCGCTCCCGGGGACCCGGCCCTGCATCCCTGAGCTCTGCCACAGCCCTGGCCCTCCTCTGGGGGCCCTTCCAAGCCCTAGTTCAGAGGGGCCAGGGCTGGCCCAAGCCCTCCCGTGCCCCAGCCCCACGGGCACGCTCCCTGCAGGGCTGCTGAGCCTACAGCAGGGCGCTGAGCGGGAGCTCCTTCTCCCCCAGCAGCGTGTCCCGCTTCAGGCTGCTGCCTTTGTTGACCACCTTCAGCTTGAGGGACAGCTTCCTGACGTGGCTGGGGCCCAGCCCATCGAAGAAGAAGTCCTCATTGAAGACAGGGTTGCGGCTGTTCTTGATGATGGTGCTGCGCTGCTTCTGTAGCTTCCCCGGGTTGAGGCACAGAGAAACGCAGCAGTGGATACCACGCACATCGACCAGAGCGTCGTAGAGATCCTCAGCGCAGATGAGCTGAACGCGAAGCCGGGCGTTGGAAGGGTCATAATCAGCAGTCAGACGGAGGCGGCCGCCCCGGCTGAGCCGCAGGCTGTGCTCACGGGGCCGACCCTGCGGCAGCTCCGCGCCCGCTGTCGGTTGTCCCCCGGCCGGAGCGCTCCTGGAGCGACGCTGGGCGCTGGGACTGGTGTCGGCTGAGCTGTCATCGGTTGAAAGCGAGCTGTTGCGAGCCACCGAGTGCTTCAGCTTGATGACCTTGGATTGGCTCTCCTGACTGAAGATCTTCAGCAGAGAGACGGAGCGGGAGAGGAGGGGTGAGCCGAAGGGTGAGGACTCGGCTGAAGAGCACGTGTCGCTTTCACCGCCGCTGAAATAGCGCCCGGGGTGCATGAGGGCCGCCCCCAGGTCGGCAGGAGCCTGAGCTCTGCTCTCACCGTTGAGCTTTGCCCTGCGCTGGCCACTGGGCGAGGTGGCCGGCGAGGGGCAGAGGCTGCTGTGTTCGCTATGGAAGAGCGATTCCTTACGTCGGGTGTGGGGACTCTCCACCAGCGTGGCGAAACCGTAGGAGGTCTGCGCTTTGGGGACATAGGGCAGAGACATGGCCGTCTGCGCCTGCGGGTCCACGTTGGTGCCGAAGCCGCCCTCGGCTGTCCAGTCCTCGGCGCTCTCGATCTGGATGATGTGACGGCCGGACGCCTTCGCACGGGGTCGGCTGGGAGGCCGGGGGCTGCGTGGGGTCTTGCGGTCCGTCAGGTCCTGCTCCGAGACAGACGGACCCAGGACGGGAGGCGCGGTGGTTTCGGTACCCTCGGGTTCAGCGGGTGCAGCGCTCAGCTTGGGCGGGATGAAGAAGTCGGGGATCTTATCGGGGGTGAGGACGTTGCTATAGCGGGAGCCCCGCGGGGAATCGTCCGGCCCCGAACCCCGTGCGCTGCTGCTCTCCGCCATGCCGCGCAGCCGCTCCAGGAGCCACATGTTGCTGCCGGGTGCAGGGCTGGAAGAGATAACGATCGGAAACGCTGTCACCGGGAACCGGGAGCCGCAAGCATCGCGGGTGACGGGAACGGGGATGCGGAAGGGAAGGGGCGCGCCGAGGGAGACCGACACCAAGGGGAGGGGAGGAAGGACTCGACCGCGCTGCGGGGCACCGGGACCCTCCGGCGCCGGGGATAACGGACGGGGAAGGATGGGACCGCGCCGCGGGACGTCGCGACCGAAACACGCCAGCCTCGAGACGGGGATCGGGAAGGAACAGCCTGCACCGACGGTCACCGGAACCCGCCGCCCCGGGACCCCGCGGCGCACGGCGGAGCTACCGGACCCGAGAGCTGGAAGCGATGGGACGGGGCGGCCGTGACGCACGGAGAGCTGTGTCGAGCCGGGCCGGGCCGCCCACCGGGCAGCTGCCGTTTCCGCTGCTGGAGCCGCTGCCGCACCTGGACCGGAGCCGCCGCCGCAGACCCGGGCGGGAGCGGACGCGCTTTTATACGGCCCCGCCGCTCCCCGCCGCGCCGCCGCCGTAATCCTCCGAGCGCTGCGCCCCTACATTTCCAGCACCGCACCGGGCACCCCGAGTGATGCTGCCGGGAACCGCGGGGAAGCCTTGAACACCGGGACGAATCGGGTCGGAACCTAACTCTGCCCCTCATGACCCGGGACATGATGCCCCCCGGTCCCGGGACACTCTGCCGTGTAGCCATAAGTGGGACCGTGAGTGGAGTGGGACCGGACACGGCAGCCCCGTGGTGCCCCCAGTTCCCTCCCTCCTGGAGAACCGCAAGAGCACGGAGTGGAGCCCGCTGTCAGCCCGGTGCTTTCCCCCCCTCCGAGCTCTCGAGCTCATCAAAGCGTTGAACAAAGCCAACAGCACTCCAAGGCGGCTCAGAGCTCAAGGACTCGCTGAGTGCATTAAGTGGTTTAATATCGTGGCTGGAAGGAGTGGAGGAAGGCAATGCCACTTGTCACACGTTTCTCTAGCGCCTGGGTAGGATATGGCCCAGGTGGTGCTGGGGACAACAGGGGCAAAATCATCAGCAGAACCCAGCGAGCATCGCTGCAGCCCGTAGGGGGAGGGCAGGAGATCTTCAGAGCAGGAGGATGAGCTCCAGACAGGTGCCACATCGGTTGACAGCCTTGGGGACAGAGGTACTCCAAGCAGGACGGGGCATGGTTGGGGCCAGCAGTGGTTCCTCCTGCCTCAGGGATGCTGCCAGGAGGAAGGAGGGCTCCATTCTCCCCTATAAACAGCCCACAGCAGCAGCACAGGGCTGGGTATAATCATCAGAAGTGAAAGCCTGGCTTGGTGAGCTCACTGCATGAGGATCGTGGCAGCCAAGCACCATGAAAAGGGTGGGAGTTCTCAGCTCCCTCTGCATCCACACTGTGAGCTGATCAAAGAGAAGGACAGACCAAGGGCCAGCATGCAGCTCTGGTAAACGTAGTGAGGGAGAAGGTGCTCAGGATCTGGGAGGGCAACAGTTCCCTCTCAGAAAGCTTTTTGCCCTGCACTTTCTCTACGCAGCCTGGCTTCCCCGATGTGCCCCTCTGCCATGCGAGTGCTCCCTGGCAGGGCAAACACTTTGATTTTCACTCTTGCCCGGTGGGGAGCTCTGACAAACTGCAGGTTTTCACCTGGGAATTGGTTGCTCAGAACAGCAGTCTATTGCCCACTGCAGGGACAGATCTGGGAGAAGCAACTGGGCCCAGCAAATGGAGCATGAAGGGTCCTCCAAGGGAGGGGTCTGGGCTGAGGCAGCATTGGGGAGGGGGACTGGCAGCACTGTGGATGTTCTTGGGGCTCAGCACTGCAGTGCTGGTTCCACCCGGGGGGGGGGGAGGGAAAGTGGATGGAGAAGAGGAGAGATAGGAGAACAGGGAGAAGAGGAAGAAGCTCAAGGAAAAAGAGCTGGTGAACAAAAGGTTGCTGTTTACCTTTCCTCCACCCATGTGCAACGGGAGGTAAACAAGGCACAGAAATGGTTGAGTTCCCCGGAGACAACAAAGAAAGCTGGAGCGGGGCCAGCCCTGCCAGCATGCTCAGCTTGGGACCAGCAGCAAAAAAAAAAAAAGAAAAAAGGGGAGCAGTTCTGCCGTGCTGGGGTAAAAGCGGGGCTGCAGCGATGGGCAAAACCACAGAGAGCTCACGGATCTCCCGGTTTGCAGCAAAGGGAAAGCAGCTGAGATCTCGGTGCAGGGTCACGCATCGGGGATGCAGGCAGTGCCCGGGCTGCCCTCACTGCCAGTCAGCTCTGCTGGGCTCAGGACCAGCTCTCACCCCCAGCGCTGCGTTGCCACAGACACTGCATGCAGAGGGAGGTGCCAGACCACAGATAGAGACGGGCAGGGAACGAATGCTTGCAGGGTTGGGAGAAAAAGAGGTTTCCAGTGTTTCCAAAACGGGCTGCAGACCGTCACACAGCGCTGCAGAGCTGGAAGAGACGCTTTGCCCTTCCTGTCTCCCCCCTGCATCATCGTGGGGTTGGGATAACAGCTCTCAGGGCTCCGTGCCTTTCCCAGGCAGCGTGACACAGGTGACACAGAGATGGATAAGGGTCGGTTTTAGTGCCAGGCTGGAGGGCGCAGCATCCGGCAATGCATGGGCGCAACGCGGCAGCTTTGGCTGGGGCCACGGAGGAGCTGGGGACGGCGGCAGGGTTGGGACATGGCAGAGCTGGGGATGCGGAGCCGGCAGCGTGCTACCACCTGCTGGAGGATGGGAAGCAGAATCCACCTTCCCCCCCCTTCCCTCACACCGGAGCAGAAGCGCACGGCATCGAACCTTCCTTCCCCACCGCCCGGCAGAAATTCAATTTCGGATCCGAGCACTCCTGGGGAACTGACGCTCTGATTGCATTATTCATGTCCGTAGTTAACTCGGTAAAGGGCTCAGATTTAATTGTTTTCTGTTTTCAAGAGCTGCGCAGCTCTCAGCTCATCTCCCCACACCACAAAGCCCTGACTGCATGCTGGGGCTGGGAGGCTTGGGGTGAGGGGGGAGGGGGGGGGTGCTCTGCTTCTGGTGCAGCAATCAGCATGGACACGAGATGCAAAGAGCTTAAACCCCCTCAAACATGACGTGCCAACCCCACCAGGCTCGCAGCATCTCAGGCAGCAGCTGGTGTGAGGCACAGGCTGGTTCTCCAACAGTGAAGAAAGCAGGGGCTCTCTCTGCCTTTTCCTGCCTCTGCTATTGAGGGAATGGTGCAATTATCTTTGCAGACACATTACTACATGACAAAAAATAGCAGCTGAGATAGAAGAGCTACATCCCTGTAGGTATTTGACTATCAATGGAAAATTACACATTCATTACTGGGCTTTATTTGGCAACGATGATATTCATTGAGTCATCCACACAAGCCTTGCCCTACGGAGTGCTGACCCTTCCCAGAGGGACCACACCAATGATCCTATTCCTCCAGGCCCAGCATTGGCACAGCAAGCAAAAGGTGCCTAATGGGGACCCCCCAGGTGTCAGTGCTGGAAGTGATCTCAAAGCCTGCCTGGAGCTCGCTGCTACTGCACCATAGGCAGCCCATGCTTTGCACCAGAGCCTGCTGGGGCTGAGCACCCATTGCCATGGGGAACAGACCCCCTGGCAGCCTGGCCCTGCTGCTAGCTCTGACAGCCTTACGTGCTCAGGATCTGGCAGCTTCTGGGCTCAGGCAGGGATTTTCCTGCCTATAGCAATTCCAGCAAATGTCTTTTTATCACCTGGCCACGCAGCACAGCCAGGAGCTACAGTGAGGCACGGGCTCAGCTCCCACTCCCAGCCACTTGTCAGTGGTCATTAGCAGGTGATGAACGACAGCTCTGCTCTGATGCCAGCCTGGCCGTAGCGTGAGACAAGGCTGCAGCAGACACCTTGACAGCATCCAGCCAGCCTGGCCCCAGGAGGAGATGCTGGAGCTCAGGGGTGATGTGTGCCTGCAGGAGACGCCTGATTGCAGGGTGCAGCCACAAACGTGGGACCAGCCAGGAGCTGATGGTGATGCAGAAGTTGACCTGGCACCCTCTGTGTCCCCATCTTCATCCCTTGCTCCGTGCTGGCGCTGCTAAGCACAGAAGCTGGCAGCCTCCAGCCCTCTGCCCTGCTAGCACCGTGCCTGGGGCAGCATGAACAGCAAGGAACTTACTCATTTCCAGGTTTAATTAGAAATGTAATCGAAACAATGAACCCGTGCCGAGCGACGAGAGACGGGATGGTGAATGTCATAAAAACCTTCCAATGCTCCAGCCAGGTAGGGGCTCAGGGCTGGGGATACCTTTCCCCCTGCCAGCCCCAGCCTTGCAGGCTCACTGCTGCCCTGTGCCATCCCCATGGAGACTCCATTCTGGCCCCCTCTTCAGGGCCACGCGGGGCTCCAGGGGCAATGTGAGCTCATGGAGAGAAGACAGCTGGAAATCTGGAACCAATGGAAAAACCCAGCAGCACCAGCTCTGAGAGATGCTTGTGCCCAGCCCTGCCAGGCAAAGCCCCAGCAGAGATGCAGTCCCCATAGATGGGAGGGCCCCCAATGTCCTTGTAGAGAGCAGGGGCTGAGGCAAGAATTGGGTCCTGAGCAGTAGTGCTGGCTGAGAGGCACAGCTCAGTGGGTGGGGGCTGGAGTCCCAGCAGCCCCTCACATTACCTGCACATGCACACACACGTGTGCACACGTACACTGCTCGACCTATCCCACCCCACGAGCCCTGGGATGATGCTCCTGCCACTGTCCCCTCCCCTTGGCTCCATGTCTCTTGTGCTGGGATGCAGCAGCAGCACTGGGTATGGGAACAGCAATGTCCAGGGCAGAGGGCACAGGGCAGCCCCGTCGGCAGCACAGGATGCTTCAACCCCAGCCCATTCCTACGTTGTCTCCAGATATCCCTCATCCCAGGCAGCATTTTGCCAATGCACATGGAATAAACATCTGTGTGTCCTTCTGGGCAAAGGGTCCCACGTGGACAATGGAGAGAAGGCAGTGTGGGTGGGAGGACAACAGAGGGACAGCGCAGCCCCTGAGGGATGGGGACCAGGTGGCCCTGCTGAGGTTCGGGACAGGGATGCTGACCCTGAGGGCCTTTGGCTGTCTCCAAAGACAAGCACTAACAGAGGAGGGGAGTGCAGAGGAGCCCTGGCTTTGCCTAAGGCTGGGGGCAAGATCGGTGCCAGGGGAGCGGGGTGGGGGCTCACGTACCCCCTGGCATCACTGCTTCCTCTGGACAACCTGGCGGAGGTGCAGCTCACTCTCGGCGGCCACGATGGGCTGCTCGTTCTGCCGATGGTGGCTGATGAGGTGGCTGATGCTCTCAAAGAGCACATCCTTGGTCCTCACCTGGGGTGTGGGCATAGCATCCCTGAAGCTCCCGGCAGCCATCCAGGCCCCCCAGCCCCCTCACCTTGCCCTTACCACTCCCTCGGGATCCACCAGCAGCAGGTGCTTGGGCTGCCCACTATGCATGCCCGTCAGAACATACTGCCCTGGGTTGGTGATACTGTCCCTCACCAAGAAGTCCCCATCCATCTGCAGGAGCTTCTCGGCATCCCGTCGGCTCATCTTCCCGTGGTACCACGGCTCCCGTCTCAACTGCTCCTCCGTGGGGGCAATGGGAGCCTTCCTCGTGGGGGGACTCGGCCACTGGTCCTCGATGGGTGGGCTGACGTTGCTCCCAGCAACGCACTTGTGGAGCTTCAGGGCATCTTCGAAAGGCCCTGGAGGGACCAGATGGGGAACATCACTGCTCTGGAGCATGGAGCTGGGCAGACCAGAGCACAGCATACCCCACGACCCCAGCCCATCACCTTACTCATGTCAAAAAGGTCCTTTTTGGGGCTCTCCTCTGGCACTGCATGAGTGGCATCCGATTCCAGGCTCTGTGTGTTCACATACATGTGCTCCTCGTAGTCCCGTGGCACCAGGGGGTGCCCGTCTGCCTGCAGGTACCCATCGCAGGACTGGCCTGCAGGGATTGGGCATCACCACCTGCATAAGCTGGGAACAGGATCCCCTCCACAGCCCTTCTGGGGACCTCAATGCCACCAGCATCAATATTTCCCTCAGTGGTACCCACCCTGGTTCTCTGAGTCCCAGGGCTGTCCTGGTTGGTTCGACAGCTCTCGCCTGAGCGCTAACCCACCCTGGGAACAGGAGACAGCAAGGTTACTGGGGGGACTGACCCTGAGCCTTCACTGTGAGGCTAGCAGTGGCTCCAGGGCTCACCTGGTGAGAAGGCTGAACGCGGATGCGGCCGGGGAATGCACTGTGCTGCAGGCGGGAGTCGATCAGCCCCCCCAGGGGAGGCTCCTTGCCAGGGATGCTGTTGTAGTAATCATGCTCGGCCGCCTCATCATCCTCCCCCCACGCTGACTCCTCCATCCCCAGCACCCTTGTGCAGAACGCAAGCAGGGACAGCTGGGAACACACTGCCCAGCCCCGATCCCAGCAAGGACAAGGCACGGGTGGCACGGGAAGGAATGGAAGGGTTCCAGTCCTACCTGTCTGGAGGTACAACTGCCTTGGGTGGGCTGTGCAGGTACTGCTTGAAGCGCAGCTCAAAGGCCTGTCCCACCGTGTTGATGACGCTCTGCGCCAGCCCATCGCAGCACTCCAGGATGTGGCAGGCTGCAAACAGACAGGCGAATGGACAGATGGCTTTAACCTTCCTTCAGGCTCACAGCAGCCCCTCAAAAAGCCCCCAGCTGCCCCTCACTCCCCACCGAGAGGTGCCCCCCTCCAGCCCAGCTCATCCCTTCTCCGCGCCCTAGGGATCAGCATCACCTCTCTGGTTGATGGGGTCCTTGGCGACGTAGGCGACGTAGTCCGTGGTGTCCTGGGGACACAGAGGGTGTTTGGGGCTCATGTCCTGCTGCTGTGCGGAGAGCGGGGCTGAGGCTGCCAGTACCAGACTCAGCCCTGACTGCCCCAGCCCCAAGGACCGGGCTGTCCCTGAATTTTGGCTCAGCCTGGCCCCACCATGGGATGGGCAGCCCCATGTC